GTGTCCACTTAGCTTTAAGGTTACTAATTTTTATTTGTTTAAACAAAATTACTTTGTTACAATATAATATTCTAATACCAAAAAAAGTACTTGCGTGGCGTGAAAATATCTTTTGTGATCTAACTCTTTCAAAAGTACATAAAAATGATTGCCATCAGGGGTGTACATGTAGATTTATTAAATACACCTTGTGCGCCACCTAGGAACCAAATCTAGAACCCGACACTCGAAATTTTTGCTCTGTTACAATCGTACCCTGTTACAATTGACCCCACTCTCCCCTATTTATCATAATTTTATTTAGTAATAATCGAAAAAATTGGCAAAGTACTAAAGGTGAGATAAATCGGTCGTATAGTTTCTGAGAAATCTCATTTAAAAAAAGGTCGTATATTTAAAATTCGATTTCTCAGGGATTAATAAACTATAATTTCGGTCGAATTTTGTATTTTACCATTTAAAATTACGTACTTTAAAATAATGCAAAAAATTTTATACCTTACAATTTAAAATTTTTTAGATTGCAACTAAATAAAATAAATATTTACTAATATTCAATTTTGCATGAATTTATATTTGGACAAATGAATTTATAATTGTGCGCAAAATTTTTTTGCTTTGCTCAAAAAGTCTTCGAAATACGCAAATAATCAAATAACATTAAGGGGTTCAAACTTTGACCCCCTCCTGACCAAACTATGCCACGTTTTACTTTTTTTTTCAAATCAAAACTTTGGCGTTATACTTTATAAATCTGGGTCAATTTTTAAATGTAACAAAATTACATCAAATAATTGAACAGCATCCAAGATGTTAAATATAGAATCTTTCATTTTTTAAAATCAGTTTAAAGAGGGACATATATTGCACGCGCTCGTTCTTTTCGCAGGTTGACCAAAGTGGTCACCTATACGCTCACCGACTGTTGCCAGTGAGGCTTGACTTTGGTAACAGTGTCTAGTGATCAGCCCATTGTGGGGCTGAACTAAATTCAGAAACTCAAAAATAAAATAAAAACTAGACTATTGAACTCTAGAATAGCGGTTTTCAAAAATGGTAAATTTAAATTTCCAGTAATTAAAATAAAAAAACTTATAACTCATTAGTTTCATGAAATCAAATTTTAAGTATCCATTTTTCTCAAAGTGTCCAGTAATTTTTTTTTACTAGTTTTATTGCTTGTAAAATTGTAAGACATTATCGAAAAAAAGAACTAGTTTACTCTGAAATCTTTATTAAGAGCTTTCTTAATATTTCATTAAGCCCCCCTTCAAGACCGGCGTTAGGAGGAAGAACTTTAAAAGGCCTCCAAACTCAGAGTTTCTACGTACTGAAGAATACGTATACGTACTGATACGAGTGTACAGTATTAAAATAACGTCTGTGTGATCTTAGAGTCAGAAAGGCTCATTCTCTTTTTTAGTATGTTTAGCTATTGTTTGAGAATTCTTACGTCAATCATTACAGAATGCTAAATAAACAGAACACTTCAAAAATAGGTGAAATAGGGAAGCATAATTTGGTTGGTTTATATGTTTACATAGCTGCCAACTGCACTGGCTTTTCCAGTAGACTACTGGTATTTTCCAGTTTCTCCTGGTTTACTGGTTTAATCTACTGGTTTTTTCTGGTTTTTGTAAATTTTAGAAAATTCCCTAAAATTGGCTAAGTGTCCTAAAAAATCCCCATTGAAATCTAATTTTTGTACTGATTATTGCAACTCTTTTGAAATTAATTAAAAAAATCTTTAAACTTCCTTTGATGAATTAAATGCTTATTAATATTCGAAATCACGAATAAACATAACATTTCAAGTATGTTTAATGTCAATCATAACTGGAAAATATTGCAATTTTTCTATTTTGATGACTACAAAAATCCCTAAAATTCCCTATGTGTAAAATATTTATTACATTATGCAACAATTGTCCATGTTGTCCACGCCATGTTAAAATGTCCTATGTGTATAATAATTTTATATTAATAAATCTCATTTCAGGGAGACTCTGGTGGTCCATTACAAATCCAGGCTGATGAAGGATACTGGTTTCTTGCTGGTATAATATCATGGGGAATCGGCTGTGCTGAACCAAATATGCCAGGAGTATGTACCAGAATATCAAAATTTAAAGATTGGGTTATTCAACAAATTAGTTAATTAGCTGGCTGCTATTGAAATAAAAGTTTTATTCTGGGTGCCAAAAGTGTCTGAACTAGAAGAAGAATATAATAAAGACACTCTTCGCGTAAACTGTGATGTTTCTGAGATGCTTAAAATAAAATATTTATTAAAATATGTTGTACAGAAAGTTCATTGAAATAAAAGTTTAGTTCATATTTTGTTGAATCCAATCCAAATAAGTACTAACTCTTGTATAGACACCGGGATAGGTTGGATCTCCACATCTACGTCCCCAAGAAACAATTCCAATCACTTCCCATCGATTTTCAGTATTTAATGCCATTAAAGGTCCACCAGAATCACCCTAAAATTGGAAACAGATTGACGAAAATTAATTGCAAGAAAAATCAACCTTGCAGCAAGAGCATATACATTTTTAATCTTTTAGTTCAAAAAGGTTTCGACAGATGGCGATGCCAGTAAACTGTTCTTTCCATCATTTGTATAAATTACATTATTTTATTAAGTGTTCGACTAGTGGGGGGACATTTCTAAAATGTAATTTCAATTTTATTCATTTAAATGTTTTGAAATCAGCCGTATCCGCTGGAAAGTTTTTGAGCCAAACCGAGAACTCCAGTAGGGAAAATTTATATCCTGTCACATAAATTTGCTACAATTTTTTAAGCATTTTTTACAGTTAAATTTTGTCAAATTTGGGACAATGTAAATCACTCGAAATTGTTTCATGTAAGTTTTAAAAGTGAGTCATAGCTCAAAGCAATGGGGAGTCTCACTAAAATCTAAAGAATTGAAAATTTTGAAAGCTTGTACATTTAATATAAATGTAATCTTTAATATATTTAATATAACATTTATAATATATGTTAAGATTTTTAATTTGTATAATGATTTATTCTTTGGTTGTATTGATATTGCTCTTTAATGCCTGAAATGAAATTTGCCCATTTAAATAAAATCACACGAGACAGTATAAATTATGCCAAATTTCAATGCGAAGTCCTTATAAAATATTTTTAAAATTTACTTTTTATGATAAACTCGTGTGACAATGGAACATGTCAAACATTTTTTTTAATTATCTGAAAATTAATTTTTACTTTGAAAATTACAAATAATTTCTTACAAATAAAAATATCAAATGATACTTCAAAAATAAATTTGACTTGAAAAACATGGCCAGAATGGTTTAGTCAGGAAATTCTTGAAAGTTTGGAATCATTTTCATCATACATCCTAAAAAATTTAAAGCCTTTTTCTTATTTTAGTACTTTTAATTCTGAAAACGCAAAATTTGAGCGAAATCTGAATAGTATGGCTAATTCAGTTTTAAAAGTTAATTTTAATTGATCTCAAAAGCTATTCAGCTAATGTTTAAAATTTTGCGTTTGGTTATTTAAAATTACATAGCTTAAAATATAAAAACCATTAATAAATTAAAATTTAAAGATTCTTCGACCATTATTGAATTTTAAAAAGTGTTCTACTCATAAAATCAATTCAATTTACGAAGTCAAAAACGCATGATTTATAAGACGTAAATAAACAAACGTTTTGATACATAAGACGTAAATAAACACTTTGAAACATTAAATCAAATAGGAAAAGCGCACAAGGCAGCTGAAACCAAATTTGTTTTATATAAAATAGAAATAAGACATATATAAAATCTTTACAATTTAGAAAAGAGGAAAATATAAATGTGTGTTTGCAGAGCAGTACTTCATCAGGGGACTAAGAAGAAAATAATCATCTCAAACAAACAAATCTCTTCATATCTTAAAGCTAACTAATTGTTATGATATGAAAATAAATGCAATCCTAAACAAAAAAAAAACATATTTTTTTTATTTATTTAAAAAAGTTCTATAATTCATAATTGGTAAACTTGCTTTTACACATAATTATATCAGTAGGGATAATTGTGAAAAACGGGAATTTTTAGGGATAATTGTGAAAATCCAATTAAATTTCATATTTGAGAATTAAATTAGACACAACAGACTTAGAAAGGTTTTGGTCACAGATTTTCTTTATAATGCAGCAAAATAGTAACTCAGCATTGTGGTCTCAGAACAAATAACATCCAGTGCTTCCATTACGTAAATCAAAAATTCGATTGAATGTTCACAAACTAATTTTCTAAAATGATTCAGACAAAATACGAAACTGAAATGACCTTTCTTCAACTGAGCTATTTCTTGTCAAAACAAAATATCTGATTATTTTTAGACAGTTCTATCAAAAATATTCTTTTAGAAATAAAAGGAACATTTTGTAGTGATCTCAATTTCATGCACAGTACAAATATCATTAAAAATATTTCAAACAAATGTACTCTTGATTGATCCTAACTCTGATATATTTTGATAATTTTTTTAAACGAAATTTAATTTAAGCAATTTACTTTAAAATTTTAATCAAATAAAGTTAATATTTAAGGTGACAAGGGACTTTCAAATAAGCAAAAATTTCACAAACAAAAAAAAGAATAGATTTTTCTCTTTATATTTTTGAAATTTAGGCATTTAACTGAACATTTTNGATTAAATTTCATATTTGAGAATTAAATTAAACACAACAGACTTAGAAAGGTTTTGGTCACAGATTTTCTTTATAATGCAGCAAAATAGTAACTCAGCATTGTGGTCTCATAACAAATAACATCCAGTGCTTCCATTCAAATATTCGGTATCAAAATTTTACGTTACACTTCATGTCCTTCTAAGACTAATTTATGAAAACGTAAATCAAAAATTCGATTGAATGTTCACAAACTAATTTTCTAAAATGATTTAGGCAAAATACGAAACTGAAATGGCCTTTCTTCAACTGAGCTATTTCTTGTCAAAACAAAATATCTGATTATTTTTAGACAGTTCTATCAAAAATATTCTTTTAGAAATAAAAGGAACATTTTGTAGTGATCTCAATTTCATGCACAGTACAAATATCATTAAAAATATTTCAAACAAATGTACTCTTGATTGATCCTAACTCTGATATATTTTGATAATTTTTTTAAACGAAATTTAATTTAAGCAATTTACTTTAAAATTTTAATCAAATAAAGTTAATATTTAAGGTGACAAGGGACTTTCAAATAAGCAAAAATTTCACAAACAAAAAAAAGAATAGATTTTTCTCTTTATATTTTTGAAATTTAGGCATTTAACTGGACATTTTTTTAAAAAACTTTCTTGAATTTTAGCAAAATTGATTAAGTTATGGCCAGTTCTGTTTTGACCACACCCCTTTGACGCCCTGCAATGAAAAAGTAGTAAAAGTAATTTTTCTCAAAATGTCCTTTGACAAATTTACATTCTAATGACTGACAATTTGATGCTATATATTTATGAATATTATTAACATTTCGCTGGAACAGTTTTGTGAATTAAGTAAATGGTATTTTTATACATGATATTTAAAGCGGTATTTTGATTTTTTTTCCAAAAATGCTGGTTTCTTACTGCTTTTTTACTTTTATTTGTTTCAATAAAAATAATTTTATATATTACCTAAGATTTAATATTTTAAAAGTACGACATTTTAACAAAATTTCAGACTCTAGGAATAATTCTAAAAAAATTAGAAATTTTAAATTTCTTAAATTTTAAAATTTTTGTTTTGAAATTTCGTATGCAAGTTGCTTTTAGCAGTATAAATGTATACTGAGAATTTCAAACAGATCCCGTGATAACTTCTAAAGAATTTTTTTTGAAAGTCCTTTGTCGCCTTATGCATACAAATTTTTAGGAGCTAGTTGCCACAAATCAAATAACTTTCGTGGAAGTTCAAAATATTGATTGAGAAAAATAAGCTTGCGTATTGGTTGAATTCAGTGCATACTTGTTTCAGAAAAAATGTGAGTTCGAATTAATATTTTTTAATTCTCAAAAATAGTCAAATCAAAACATTGATCGAGAAAAAATTTGCGGATTAGTAGGATTCAAAAGGATATAATTTTAATTCTCAAAAACATAAGGTCTCAAAAATTAATTTTTGAAATCTTCAAAATTTTGTTGTGTAATTAAACGGAATAGATTTAATAATTATTTTTTAAAAAATGATCTGAAACATCCTTGCGAAATTTTTAACTAGAATAAAGAAAATCTGATTCTCATTTATTCCATTTGTTAGCAAACTGATTTGTAGTTAAAATTTTAATTTTATTTAAGAAATTGTTCGTTAGATTAATAATATTCAATTTATCAATAATTTTATTAAATATAATTTATATTTTAAAATTAAATTGCTTTCATCCGAATAAACTTTGTTTTCAAACGAGAGTATTAAAATTTCCTACAAGTATTCGTCTACTTGCCAACTCTTCGCTTTTCACGAAAGATTTTTTTTTATTTAACGTGGTGGACAAATTTATAGAATCAAGTTTTTTTTTTCTTCATTAAATAAATAAGATTGAAAATTATTTTGACTACCATTACGTTTGTATAATTTAAACATAGATAAAATTCAATTTCATTGGCATTAATAGGAAAACTTTTTTAATAGAGCTGGCAGGATGTGGATTCGTGATTTTTGACATTAAACAATCGTGAATTTTGTTTAAATTTCATTATTAAAGCTGTTTAGAAATTTAAAAAATGTACTAATTTAAAAACGTTTAAGTGTTAGAAAAACCATTAACAAAAAAAAATAATTTCAAATATAAAAGCAAAAAACAGAATTAGATGTTTCAAAGCTGGATTTTCCCATCACGATGTCTTAGTTTCAATTACATGCAGCTATGTGACTGCACCACATTTGTGCTGAATCATTAAAATCGTTAATCGTTTTTAAACTGCTTTAACTCAGTTTCGTTATTCATCGTTTGCAAGAAAAATTTAGTTCAGTTTTGGTTCTCTTAACAGCTGTGGCATTTCTACCTTCAAATTGATTTATTTTTAGTGCTAATTTTTCATAACTAAATTTTCTTTGCGAACGATAAATAACAAAACTGAGTTAAGCAGTTAAATGATTCGGCGCAGTGTGGTGTAGCCACATTACAGCAGAATTAAAAGATTTTTTCTATGGTGGGGGTTGATTTTGAAATCCCTTCCAGCTGCATCAATACATCGTTTTTATTCCGAACACTTTTCTTTATAAACACTAAGCAAAATACCGGACTTTGAGATAGCTGGATATATTACATGACTTTTTAGACATGTCTATGCATTTAGAACACTTGACTGTTTTAAAGAAATCTAAAATCGAGCAATTTAATACCACTATAATAAATTTATAGGATGCGTGAAAACCTCGTAAAAACTAATTTCTTTTAGAAAAAATATATATCAAGTGATTTAGAGAAATGGATGACATTACATAACAAATTTAGATTCACTAATTTATTCTTTAAAAAAAGAGCATTTAAAAAAATAGAATCAAATGTTATTTTCTTAAAATGGTTTTTTTAAACTGTCATTTCGAGCTGTGTCCATATTCTTAAACGCGTATTTTCCTGAATTAAAAGTTCTCTGACGATATTTAACCTTTCAATATAGTTTAATTTGAAATTAAAATTTCAAGTTACACTTAGAACCTTGTTAATGTTGCACGCATGTCCTCATTCTTTGACTACCTCTTTCCTTTTCCGCTAACATTCTTTGAAATAATTCACTGCTAGTGGCCTAACCCCTTCCTTCTCGCTCCCGTGAGGTTTCGCCCTCTATTTCTAGCTCCCGTGATGTTTCCGGGCTGGAGTGTTCAGTAGTAACGCGCCAATAAGAATAAAACTAATTAATTTCTTTTTCCCGGAAAACATTTTATTTTAATTTTGCACACCAGATGGCTGTACCAGGATATTTTAAGGTAATTGTAGGTAGTTTATTTTAAACTAGATGTCAGCACTAATCAAATACGTGTATTTGTGATATGTGATTTAAAAAAAAATAGGCACTTTCATGGCCGTTTTCTTGAGAATTAACCGATCGTTAAGGGGTTAAAGAAGACTTGAGAAAAAGTGCAATTTTGGGTGCCGTTATGGCATTTCAAGGATGTAAGGCTGACTAAAATACCCTTTTTCCTTGTCAATGCTGTAGAAGTGACCTGTAAAGGACTGAACACATCTAGCATTAATTACCTCATTTTCATTGTATTGCTTACAACAAAGTGCACTAGCTTTGAACAATTTTATCTTAGCTTAATTTTAAAGTGAAATTTTTAATATACTATTAATTCGATTTCCGCTTGAAACAAGTTAGTAACTTATCAGCAAATATAGTTATACAAATTATGTAGTTTAAAATCAATGTGCGATGATTTAAAGATTTTTTTAGGAAGCAAGTGGTACACTAGACACCTGAAAATAAATTTAATTGAACTGGCAATCTAATCTGAAAGGTTTGCCTTATTTCGCCCTACACAGTGTTTACTCCAAGAACGTCCGTTGTCCGGTTTCATATGCATCCAAATTAAAGCAATTTTATAGTCACTTTAAATGCTGTCAGGCAAAATGGTTCATGGTGTATCTTTTACCTTAAAAAATGGGCACTGCTATTGTATATCCGAATCTGAGTCATTTGGGCAACCCTTAAGTATTTGGTGGCTTAACAGGAAAAAAGCGACAATAAATAAAATACCTGACAAGCATCTTCTCCGTTTTCGGGTGAGCCAGCACACATAAAAGAGTCTGTTATACTTTCTAAAACATATGTTTTATCACATTTTTCATTAGACCACACAGGAACCGTTACTTGTCTTAAAATGTTACTTGCTGCACCACCTAAAGAAATAAAATATGACTCATGTTGTGTGACAGACGCACAAATAAAAAGTGGTCACGCGGAATAGCGTCAGAAATACAAAAGCCAGGGTATTAAGGTGAGGAGTAGACTAAACATTAATAACTTTTGATTTACTGATCATATTTTCAAGTACTGTGGTTCCATTTTAATGGTTCAAGGACCTGACCTCAAATATGCTAATTTAAGTTGCGTGCAGTCGATAATTTCAGTTACATAGGCGTAATGCAAATGAAAGCGAAAATAACAGGACCTTCTGCCACTCAAAATCCTTGTTCGGTAGTTCTTAACTCATTATCAGCATAAATTTACATTCACTTTAACTGCCTCCAGGTGAACTTGTTAATAACTATACGCAGCTACACTCCTCTTATATAACCCTGCATGGTGCTTTGTCACTGCTGTATTTCTGACACATCTGTTAACTTTTTATTTGGGCAGCTTTGGCTTTAAGTTGGAGCCTTTCCCTGATCTTTAAGCAAAATTTGTTCACAACACTCGACATCTCAGGTTTAAGAAAATGGACATAGCCTGTTCTCTTGAAAAGTAGTCTTTTAAAGAATGAATCCAAATAAATTTGTAAAGTAATGCCGTCCATTTGCATAAAATATTTCGTTACTTTAGTTCGTTTTTTAAGTTTATTTTATTTTAAATTAGCATTTTTTTTTTAATAAGAGATTTGCTCAGAGCTGTGCAAATTGACTGTTATGGGAGCCAAAACCCAGTACTGTTTAAAATCAACAAAAGGATTCTTCAATTTTCTATGATTTTTAACAAGTTGAATGCCACACTAATTTTACATGGCTTGCCCGTCTGGCCAAAATGATTTTCCTCAGTCTGTATGCATTAATTTCTGTAAACCATTTTAATAACGATAATATAAAAAATTAAAAGCATTAAAAGTTTACTCGAATTATGTGTTTCTAATAATCTTCACCGGGTGACCCCCCCCATGGAATTCAACGTGTTAAATTAATTTTTTTTATTCCCCTACCAATTAATTTTTTTGTATTCATTTTATAAATATTCATCCATTTCTGAAGTCACTTAAATTCTTATAATAATTTAAAGGTGATAATTAGAAAAAAAATAGGACTTAAAATGTATATGTATGAAATGCATGTAAATTAATATGGTGCACATTCTTAAGGTGTTAATGTTGCTCTTTATCGTATTTATGAAGCGTGTTCATGATTATAGTTTTTTCAGCAATAGATTGCAGAAACTTATTTCCTGCTGTTTTTAAATATCAAGCCTTTAATTTTTGATATTGTTCTGGAAACTCTTTAAAGAATTGCAGAATATTTTTAATTGTACTGTATTCCCATAGAAGGAACGAATTTCATATTAAAATGTACGTTTTGTCATATTGATTAAGAATAAAATTAGGGGATAGTAAACTGCAAAAATAAAACTTAACACTTAAAATAGTGGCAACCATTTTATATAAACGCGGTGTTCCTTTAAATGTTTCACTATACCAAGAAATATTTCTGGTGTAGTAAACAATACACCAAGTAGCTTGAAAGAACATATTTAAAGTATTTAGCTGCCACTATTTTTTATATTCAGCAGGAAATGAGTTTCTGCAATCTATTGCTGCAAAAACTATAATCATGAACACGCTTCATAAATACGATAAAGAGCAGCATTAACACCTCAAGAATGTGCTCCATATATTTGAGTAACATTGGAATTTAAAATTACAATAAGCCAATAAGATACAGATAAGAATCAGAACTTTTACGATGCAAAGTAAAAATCATTAATTTAGAATATACTCTATAATATACTCTAATTCTTAAAATAAAATTAGCTTGTAAATTAAACAAACGCTTACTAAATAAATAAGACTAATTTGAACTAGCCTTAACAGATCAGTCGTGAAGAAAAAATTATATATTATAAAATTATTTAAAATAGTTTACAGATATTTAAAAGTTAAAATATGATTATTCTCATTACACAATTATAAACATGCATACATATTTTAACAGATCCAACTTTTGTTTCTATAAATTTATAACATCATAGAAGACAAACTACGCCAACTCATTAACGATTATAAGCAGCAGCTGGCGATATCTTAAGTGCTCCCACATTGGAGTTTTTGAAAGTGAAAATAATTCTCGTATGGTGTGAAATCTCGTGAGTTTGATGTAAGCTTATTTTTTGCGGTAGCCTAAAAAATGTTCCTTCACACTATTTTTTTTGTGTTACTCAACATCATGTCCGGAGAGATGTTACACATTTTTTTTCTAAAGTTTACTCCGAGCATTCAAATAATTTGTAATTTTCTACAGAAATAAATTGGAACTTACCGAATGAAACCGTACCCCATCCGACCACCGTAGCATTGACATCAGAATAATTTCGGGATGATTCAGGTAAACATATGCTTCCAATAAATTTAGAGTATTCAACCTTTCTCTTCAGCTTTAATAAAGCAATATCATGTTGGAATGTTAAAGTAACAAATTGAGCATGTCGTTTTATTTCTGCTATTGGTATATCTCGTTGATGTTGATTTTTCTCGGAGAAATTATACTCGCCAAGCCGAACAGTCAGGTCTTTTACTTTTAGGCTGAAAGAGTAACAATTGTTATTTTTATTGCACACAAAAATTAATACTTTTACATCAACTACAAAGCTCGATTCCGTAACTATGCCCCATCCCGGAGAGAATTCTCCCCGGACTCGCAAGACATCAACTATTTACTCCAACTCTTATTAGATCTTTCATGAAGTACCTTATAAAAAATTTCTTTAAACCGTATAAAACAATTACTTGAAACATTCAAAATAAATTTAATGTATATATTGTTACTTAAACCTTAAGTAAAAAATGCTATTACTTGAAACCTTATAAAATACTATTACTTGGAAAAAAATAAGTACCTGAAGCCTTATAGAAAAATACCATTAGTTGAAACCTTATAACTGTAATTAAAATAATACTTTTGTACAAGGTGATTAGGGAAAGAATGCATTTTAGTAAGTTTGATTAGAAAGGTAACAGCGGGGAGGACAGAATAATTTAGGGCTTACAAGAGTAACAGTTAAATTATTGTATTTTTCTAGGATTTTTGTTTGATTTTTTTTGTGTGTAGTCAGAATGTGTACTACTTTTGGTTTAGTTTTTTATATTTCAGTGAAAGAAGTATTCTTGCAGGAACCTTATTAGATTTAGTTGCTTTTGGAGTTTATTATGCTGACGTTTGCTAGTGTTCTGATGTTGCACATTTGTTTTACACAATTGTACATTTGTTTAATGACCTCTTTAGATTGGTTTTGCAGGGGCTCTGTAAAAAAAGGGAGGGAACTAATCTGGATCATGTCTGTGGAACCAGTGAAACCATTGGAATCTGATTTTTTGTTCATATTCTAGTTTATGTTAATGTCAGTGCGTTTGCCAGTTTGGTGTTACATTTAGCTTAGGTAAAAATTGCATGATATCGGGAGTGTTGGTATTCCTGAGTCATTTTCATATTTATCACCGAATTCATTGCTCATATGAGCTTTATCCAGGCAATTCTTATTGCATTATTGAATGCAGTGACCAGATTTCTTTTATAATGCTATGTCTTTCATTGCAATTTTTTATGACTAATTGTGGATAAACCATCAGACCAAATTGTTGTAGTAGTGGTTAAGTTAGTTATTGTGGATTTGATGGCTTCTAAGATGGCTAGGAAGATTAAAAAATGGTGCTTTCATTTCTAAGTTCATATATTTTAATATTTTACCTGGTCAGATTTAATAGTCCCCACAGCCGCTACCGCATCTTTATCCATCTTCGAGCCACCTGTGAAAAGATTTATTTGGCCTGATTTGCTCCTGATGTTGAAATTCGCTAATGGTTTTACTCACTTAAATTGAAATAAACCGGATGTATTATGTTTAATTTTGGATCTCACCAGATCTTCGTGCTAAATTACATTGATACTGAAACTGATGGATGCATTTTTGTTCTTTTAGAGGTTAATTTTGATGGCTTCTTGATGGAGGACGAAATGAAGTGGTGGGATTGCTAAAATTACCTGTAGGGTAATAGGAGCTGTTCTACGAGCCAGTTATATTTAAAAAATTTCGTTGCATGCTGTCTAATTAGTCTTTTAAATATTGATTTTGGCTCTGGCACCAGATTTAAGTGCCTTCATCCTCTCCGTACAGGATTTGTAGCGGATTCTTATGTGCTTTGGCTGTATGCCTTAAGAACCTCCAGCAATTCTTTGGAGGGATAGGAATTGTGCGGATAGGAATTGCCTGGATATTAGCCTGGATTCTTTGGATATCAAGATTTTTTGTCCAGGTGAATAACTCGTCAATGTCATTTTTTTATATTGAATTTCTTCTTTCAGGTTGTGCTTCATTTGCTTTTTTTCCTCCTCGGTTGAAATTTGAAGATTATTTTATCGTTTTTGTTTACGTTCCTGAAATATGCTTTTCTACAGCTTTCTCCCATTTATGTTCAGATTTAGAAGAAATATGAAGGAGGATCTTGACAATACTCTGCATGAAAAGCATGTTTAAAACATTAAACTTGTTCAATTTGTAGCAAATACTTACCCTAAGACGCAGTGTGCTGCTGTGAGTATATACCAATCATTAATTATAACACCTCCACAAAAAAATCTGTTTCTTCTGAGTAGTGCCACCTATTAAGAGTAGACAAGTAATGAGTGGGGTATAAATAAACAAATCAAACAAAGAATTCAAAATCTTACCATCCAGGTCCACTCGTGGGGGAGGGATACTTTACCACCTACTATTCTTAGATTGGAATTTTTACCGCAACCTAAAAATACAATTTAAATAAAATTGTCACAGCTAATGAAATCAGCTTAATTTTAAAGGAAGTGAATATAATGTATATGTATTCGTATTTACACCATCCTAATATATTTGTTTTACCGTTATTGGTTTGCTTCAGTTACAGCAAAAAATCTAGGTGTACTTTATTTCACTAGGACACAACTTGTTAATAGCTCATAAAAAAATAACAGCTACAACAGTTATCTTGTTTTGTACAAATAGTAAATACGAATATTACAAATAAAGAAAGTTTTATAGCTCCAATTGAAGCAATTACTACCTTTTTTACTACCTTTTCGTGAAAAAAAGTAATTTATTAACACGATACAGATCCTCATCAGAAGAAAATCCTCATCAGGGTTACATTCCTAAGAGGACAATTTTACGGAATGTAAGCCTGATATTACACGTTCTACTATAAGTGCTCGTGTTGCGGTATAGCCATGCAAAATGTGACAAAATGTTAACATTTTAAACAGTTCTAGTAAATAATTGAAATAATGTAGTTGTTATAATTTTATGATGTCAATCACCATTTACTAGCTGAAAGTTCAGGATCAATCACTGATGCGAAGTGTTATTACTGGACATGACTTTTCGTTATTACGTGGGGTTCCGTTAAATTAAGAATTCGGCTTAATTACATTGAATCAAATACTTTTTTACATAAAGGGTGTCCGAAAGGTATGGAAATATTAAGAGAAAATCCTAAAATAGAGATGAAATAAATTTCAAACGATTCATTTCATGTCTCTAAATTCGACCCCATCCCAGCCTCCAATGTGGGTAGAGTTTACTATCATTAGATTGTCTTTTTAAAGTATACATTTGTTTTTATTTTATTTTTGATGTTCCATATTCATTGATCTCCATTTTAAACACTTGGTACTCCGTTTTAATTTTCAGATTACAGTCAAAATGCATAAACGTGTTTTTAATTTTATAGCCTTCATTAAACAGCAGATTCAATTTTGGGTTTACGACTTCTAATGTTCAACTCCTGAACCTAGTAATTTTGAACCTAATCCAGCAGACAAGGGAACTCCTGTATTAAGTATTGAGAGAAATTTGCCTTCGGGGAGGACTTTTTGATAAAACTAACCCGCATTTGTGTCACAGGGAGAGGAAAAAACCACGAAAGTCTCCCACGGTTAGCCTGACGGCAGGAGACTAACCTATGATCTGTCTACCATTGTGAATATTTTAAGTCAGCTCCACTGTCGGTGCAAGCCGGATGCGGAATTTATATCGACCAGCCATCGCTGGGATTCGAACCCGGTTCACCTCATTGGAAGGTGAATGCTCTATCCCCTGAGACATCACGGCTATGATAAACTTGTTCGTAAAGTTGAGGTACTTTTCTGAAATATTCAAATCAGTAACAAAAATGGAAGTTTTTTTTTTTAAATATTTCAAATCTGTTCCCTGTCTCATCATAAGGAATGATAGGGGTAGAGATTTAATGCTTCTTGAAAATATTTTCCGCAAATATTTTTACATTTTTGATCAGATCTATATATTTGGTCAGTTTTATATTTTTGTACACCCTGTAGGTATAGGGTAAAATTAGGAGGTTTTGCTATTGGCCAGTTGTAGCAATTTTAACTGTGATAACTTACAAACGTGGCCACTTTTTCAAAAATTTAAAGTTTTAAATGATTAAATAAGCTTGATGCAAGGCATTTCTTTTGAAGCAATTCTCGAAATAGGTTCGAAGCTCATTTCGTAAAGAAACATTTTAAGAAACAAGTCTGAAATAAAGCAATTTTTAGAATATAACGCATACATAATTATTCCATCACTTAAAAAAAATGTAGACAGAAGGAATTTTCGACGAAAAAAAGTGGCGATAGTCATTGTGACCGATAGCCATTTTTTTAATCATCACTTTATATTTTTACAACCTTATGCAACTGAAACAAAGTTCTATCAAGCTAATTGTTTTCCCTCGATTGTTTCTAAAATATATCACTTTCCTGATAAAACAAGCATTTCGAACGTTTTTCGTCACGTAATAGCACGATAGCTTCACTTCGAAGGCTAAATTCTATTGAACTATTTCTGACCAATCGCAAAGCAAATACTCTTTTAATGGCGGTGGTGGCGGTTTGTACCATATAACCAAGATCTCCCTGATTCTTACATGCAATGTAAGAATCAGGGAGATCCTGGATAATTTTATGTAAATAATACGCTGATTCAACAATGGTATACTAATTTTAATTAAGAGATGCAAATATTTCAAATTACCTATTTGCATTTATAAAGTAATTTCGGCACTGAAATACAATACTTCATCCGTAGTCTACCAATTCATATTTGCCATTTATTACTGATAAAAATAAATAGCCAATATTTGATTAATTATCAATTTTTAGAAGGTGATTGCAAATATATTATCACATTACAGTTCTTGATACAGACTAAAGTTTTCTGTACTGGTCAGATGTATGTGTTTTTGTATGGATAAAGTATTTTGAAATTGCAAAAAAAAAAGATTGGAAATTACAAATTATCTGAGGCGAATGCAAAAAGTACTTTAATATTTTAAAATTTTAAAATATATAATCATAAGAGTTTAAAATGTTTAGGAAGGAGAATTTTAAAAACGAAAACTCATTGTACCCGAAATCATTTAAAATAAATTTTATAAATCAAACTTTTTTTTAAAAAATTTAATACTTTGAGCTATTCAAAGAGTTTAGGTAATAGTTTCGATGATTACAGACAAAAATCTATGATAAGATCGGAGCTAAGCAAAAGTCACAGAAATTATCCATATTCCATAGTTGAGAAAACTCGTATGAATTTTTTAATAGGCGGAGGAAAAATAGAGCGCACGTGACCTACATAGGTAGGTGCATTATTACGTCGAAATAGAGATGCACAATGACGACAGTATGGGAAGCATCCCTGAGGATGATCCGGAGACATGCCATCGCAATTGTGATCCTCTGCAGAGGGCATGGCTCTCCTACTTTGGTATTCCGACAACGTCCTCGAAGTCTAGCACCTTACGGTTGAACAGTTTAACGAGAACCGATAACGCGCACCCTCAGTCCCTACGTAGGCTGATCAAAGTGGTCACCCACCTGCTTACTGACAGCAGTCAGTGATGCTAGACTTTTACCGGGAACAGTGTCTTTACGATCAGTTCACTGCGGGACACGTGACCTACAGATCAAATAGATAAGCAACAGGTTACTTCGATAGTGACCTATTGTTAGAGTTGAATTAGGAAACCGTTCGAATAACGATTGAAGCGAGTTTGAGTTGCAATTAGTCACTATACCGCTAATTTTGTGTTTTCTGATTTAAAATTTAAACTCTCACCTTCCTGGGGCTGCTTCAATTCTTCTACTGTCGTGACAGGTGTATCTTTGGTTTCTATAACTGGGTTATCAGGACAACAGATTCCAACGAATGGTCCACGCATCAAGCACAAGTATTGTAAAAATAGACTGAAGTTACTGAGTGCATCACTTAAAAGACATTCGGTAATACGCTTACAATGTCCATCTTCTCCCGATGGAGTTTTGCAAGATGTTAAATTGCCGCTTCTGAAGAAGACATCAACAAGACGGGAGGACTTAATTTTTTCAGAATCTTCTACACTGTTAGCATGAAGCAATTCTCCACTTCCTTCCTGTAGTTCAATTATGTTCTCATTTACGAAAAGGCCAGAATCAAGAGCTGGTTCTTGAGAAGTTTCCGGAGTCAAGGAAATTTCCTCACTCTTTTCTTCCTGTATATCTTCATCACAGTCTAATTCTTCTGAAATGCTTTCAGATTTTGTATTCGGGATTATGTCAATCGTATGACCAGTTTTGAATTCTTCGCTCTCTTTTATATTGGAAAAGTGTCTATATTTAGGTGACGATATCACTTTGACTTGAAATCCATCTACGCCCATTTTTAAGTCATAAGGATCAGTATCGTCTTTAATAGAGCGATGTGAACGATTAGCATCGTACTCTGTCTGTAACGGGCTAAAATTCCACTTGTTTACTAAATAAGACTTCCTTTTTGTATGTCGTTTAGATCTCCTAGATACTCTCTGTGAATAAGTTGGTTGTTTTATTTCTGGTAGACTTTCAGATGGCAGATATTTATTTGTAAGCATATCCGAACTTTCCTGTCCTTTCTCTTCCAATTCATACTTGCTATTAGAACCTAAATAAAATAGACAAATTATTTTTAGAAGAATTTTTATTAAAACACAATCACTATATAAGAGTTTACCAAACGTGAAGCATCCGATAGCTCCTCCTTTCACGAGGATAAATTAGGGTAAAAAAGAATGCATGGCGGATAACTTAAGTAATTCTCATTAAAGGTTTTAAAATGCAACGTGCTAAATTGAATGCTTGTAGAACAAAACTTGTAGAAGTACGAATTAAGCCAAAATGTGAGCGTATACCTTTATTGTCGTTGTTTACGGCGAAGAGCACGGACTATTAATGTGTTCAGAAGCTTTATTAGGTGGTTTTCTGTACTGATGCGTTCTCAGTCTTGGTATAAATTCAGTCTTAATGTCTACACAAACTAAGTTTGGTTATTCTCATCGTATTAAGCCAAAATGTGAGCGCATTCTTTTAGTGTCGTTTTAAACGGCGAAGAAAACTGACTATTAATATTTTCAGAAGCTTTATTGCGTGGTTCTTTACTGATGCGTTCTCAGTCTTTGTACAAAATCAGACTGTCTGCACAAATTAAGGTTAGGTTATTCTCATTGAGTCTTACTAAGTTAACATCCAAACAAAAGTTAATCAGGGTTTTCATTTTTACCTAAATATATTTTTTTTATTTTGCTCATTGTACATTTATAATAATACGTTCAGGGAATCTTATTTTTTATTTGTTCCAAACTCAGAAACTTAATCAGTCTTTAAAATTTTATATGAAACAAAAATATTGCTAAAGATACTTGCTAATTTTTAAAAAAAATATTGAATTAAATGTTTTAGATATTTTTATTTATAAATAAATATATCACTAAAACTATTTATAAAAATGAAGCAATCTATGGAACATATTTAGATGTTCTAATAAATAATTTGTAATAAGAAATTATTCAAAAGAATAGTTGAAATTTTCGTGAGATTTCTATATGGAATTGAAATGTTTGAGTTTCTTGACTTATAAAGTAAATCGATTCCACAATAAAGAATATAAAAATATTAAAACGAGAAGCTTCAAGTTTGTTTTTTTCTTCCTACCTATTTGAAATGATCTGAAATTTAAAGTTTTTTTTTCATGTACATTTTGTTCAACAATTTTCGAATTAAATTGAAAAGTTAGTTTATTGACTTCGAAAAAATATTAAGCTATACCAAAGAATACTAGGATATTTAAAACGAAGCCTTCATTAGAAATTATTACGATTTCGGAATTGCTAATGGTACAGAAAGGACAGCAATTTATTCACGATATATAAAGGGAAATTAAAATAAATTACAATCGCAAATTTCAGATCTACGTTTAAAAAGAACTGTCGGTATTAAAAAGTAATTGCAAATAGTTTAAGTTAAATATAAGTCGGCGCTTTAAAAGTAATTTTTATACTCCTGCCGCAAAGACTAAAAGTTCATCGACTTTGCGATTTAAAATTAGCTTATAGTAAACTTTCATTTTTTGACATAAAAAGAATTTATGGTTTTTAAGAATAAATAGTTACAACTTCTGTAATAATTGAAGGTTGAAAATGTTTGATAGAAGAATAGGAAATAAATGTATGCCCAGCAGTTAAAGAATATACTCAAAATGAAGATGACCGATCAGCTGCTACTCTAAAATCATACGTCACAAGAAAAAAGTCTATACTATCACTTGAGACTGCTTGAGAATGCAAGAAGCATCTTTAATAATTTTTCCCTTAAATCAAAATATAAACAAGAATTTTTAACCATTTACATTATAAACAAGAGCCATATTTAAATCAGAGAAAGTCTTTATTTACAAAATTTTATTATATCTTTAAACTATTACATGCATTAAATTATCCTTATTGAAAATTTTTAAATTTTGTTCAGTTCACGGTTAAAAAATATTGCATTATTTAAATATCTTACGAAAAGACACTTCTAAATTCAGAATTTTTTTTTCGAGCCCACCACACCTGCTTTCCTGATTTTTATCAAAGTTTATTTTTATCAGTTCTCTAAAGTTAAATTGCCTGAAAGAAATCATCTACTTATCATAAGAAAAATCTACAATATTGAAATTTCGGGAATATTTTATTAAGTTCTTTAAACTGATACACAAATTAATATTTTTATTCTAAATTTTTTGATTTTCCTTTGCTGATAACCTCATTTTTTCCTCTGATTTTTATCAATAAAGTTATTTTATCCCTAAGCAACAGCAGAGATTATTTTTTGAACTTAGCGAAATTTAACATATTTAATTTGGTTTTCAAATAAAAAGAATGAGGAATTCTTTGTGTTGAATTTTTAATTGAAATTTTCAGATTTTAAATTGCATTTTTTTTCCCGCTTAATATCACGTTAATCCCGATAATTTCATTTATTTAAAATAGATTTATTCTTCCTTTTCAGCTTATTAGTTCTGTAAATTTATTATTTTTCTATTTTCACTTACGAAGCTTCTAATATTCAGTTAATATATTTAGGTTTCACAACTGAGAAAAATTAAACTAATGGAATTTCTGTTGTTCATCTTTCGCATTTTTACCAATGAGTAAAAACATACCATCAACGGTGATTTAAAAAAAAATAATTTTTTATTAGCATTAAACATACCAACACTTAGTAAATACCAATTACTACCATAGCCGGTCAAATTAACGGACTTTTCTTCTTGACTGAATGTATGAAATATGGATGTTAGGAAGGAAATAAACTAAAAAAACTTCATTGTATTTGAACAAAATTGTATATTATCAATTTTTATGTCTTGCAAACACAAAGAATAGGAATTTTTAATTCAGTGCTCAACGCATATTTCACATATACAGGGTATTTCAATTGTATATTTTCCGTTAACATATTTCTTTCACTTATTATTATTTCGATAATTCTTATAATTATTCTCATAATATATAAGAATTACAATTATTGTTGTAATTAAGATTATTTCTTCTAAGAACTTGGGCTGTCCTGATTGTTTAGACCTTGGCGTTAGACATTTTCTGGGTAAAAACTAACAGTTTGAAATGAAGTAAAGCTATCAAAATAAAATATACGCTACTTACCAAAACATTTAGTTTTTGTCACTTTTTCTTACACAAAAATGCCAATCTAAAATTTTAGGTACTTCTTCGAAATTTGAATTCACAGTTATTCTGATTGAACTACGCAAGTCTTTGAAGAAATGTGCAACTAATCGAATGCAATACGTTGAACACGCATTACATCGTAATTTCTCATCCGATAACCTTATAAAGCAATAAATTGTTCTCCCAGTCAAATGACCGGTTGTGGTTGAAATAGCTATACGACAAGTATAATTTGAAACAAAATACAAAAAAAAAAAGAATATTTAATGTAAATAATTGTTAGAAAAAGTCATGAAGTCAAATGTGCAAAAACCTTAAGATTATAAGCGCATTTTCGATGCTAAAGTTCTTAAGCGGTCATAGTATGTTTAGTGTTAAAAAAGTATGCCGAGTATCTTATTTCTATTATTTCATTTTTATAAAGCACATCTCTAGAGTGAATCGATTTGTAAAAATGTTTGACTTTGTACATAAAAGTAAATTATGAAGCAAAATCTTCTTTTCTATTGAATAAAAAGGTATGATTTTATTTATCTTCATTTGCTACAAGTTACTGTGAGATCAAGTCGTATCTTAAAAACTATTTTGCATATATTCTCTCTTAAATAAAATAGTCATTTTATAAATTAAATGGCAGTTGGAACAATGCATAAATATTTTTCAAAATTTTCTATTTCACAAATTTTAGTATATAATTCACTCACCAGATAGAGTCGCAAACACTGGCTGATAAGAGAACATCGGAAATTTTAACTATTGTGAATAAAAACTAATCTTTTCAGTCATTCTGTATCCGTTCAAAGCATGTTAAGTAGCACCTCGTTTATATTAACATGGCATGAATGCATTTTATTTTATAGCCGTCGTTGAACCTAACCAACTTCTTGGGTTAACGTCTATTAATGTTAAACTCCGTAGCCTAGTAATCTTAAACCCAATCCTGAAAACAAGGAAACTGCTGGATCTAGTTTTGAGAAATTTGCCTTAATGGAGGACTTCTTGATGGAACTAACCTGCATTTGCGTTACAGGGAGAAGAAAACCACGCAGGGTTAACCTGACGGTAAGAGGACTAACCCATGCTCTATCTACCACTGAGAATATTTTACGTCAGCACTATGTTCGTTGCAAAACGGATGCGGAATGCGTATCAAGCAACCGCCACTGGGATTCGAACCTGGTTCATCTCACTGGAAGGAGAGCGCTCTATCCCCTAAACAATAACGGCTCAAAAATGCACTTTATAGCAGTTCAGCTATGCATTTTGTTAAAAAAAAAAGTTTATTTTACAGCCGTTCAGCGCAATCGCTGATTGAAACTGAAAGTTAACGTTTTTATTTATATTGATTTAGGAAAAAAAAAAAAAAACCTTTTGCTCTAGATTGCAACAGTAGCAGCATATAATTTGTAATTCATGCATTTTAGTGTATAATTCATTCACCAGGTGGAGTCACGAACACTAACTGAAAGGAAAACATGTTTTGAAACAAAATTTCACTTTGTTCCTATATACTAGAAGGTGAGGATGGTGGTGGGGGAATCTCAGCCATAACACCAAGGGTCATAGAACTGTAGACGAAGAATGATGCAACAAAGCTATTTCTGGATGAACACTTAATATCTGCCAAGAGTGACAACCATATTTCTATTTTTAATTGAAATATTTTATGTATCATATTTTTAATTTTTACTTTTAGTAATATGGCACTTTTTTTAAAGTTCATTTGTTTGGAATAAAAAAATTACTTATCTTTAGTTCGTAGTCTATTAATCGAATGATTAGTTACAGATTAACACTGATTCGAGTTAAGTTTAAATACCCTGGATCGAATAAGAACCTAAGTCGCATATTGAATACCAACCATCTGAGAAGAATCATTCGAAATTATAACTGTCTTCAATCTGCATTTAGTATAGTTTTAAAATTAAAATCACGTCCATGTCGCTGGAGGCTCGTCTCTTTTACTACGAAAGTAGAATCAATTCCATAACGTCTTAAAGAGGTTAACGTGTAAAAATGTGATCAGCGTATGTGACCTTTATGATATGATCAAAATGCAACACTAAAAGGTGTCCTTTCAAAACTTGAAAATTTAATAACTTCGCTATGTTTTGTTCTGGATGGATTCTTAAGACGTATTTATATTCACTTTCTCTGATATGATTCTTCGGTTAAACACCTTAAACAACTCATATCACCTTTTTTCATAAACATTGTGCTGAAATGAGTTTTCTGGTGCGCACTTCTCATTTGAGCGATTCTGAAACTCCTCAACGCAAAACACTTTCTGAAAAATTAAGAACTTTCGAAAACATTCTAGGTCTTTGTGGAAAAACTAATTTCTTAGGCTAATGATAAAAGAAATTGCTCAAAATACAGTTAGTTTTTAAACTCAATGGGTGAAANGGAAAAAAAAAAAAAAGGAAAAACGGACCACTCAGTTAAACTTTTTATCTAATGATCGGATCGTGATCTAGGATTCAATCTTAATGGTTTGAAAGGTTGACATCAAATATGCTAAATAATTAGTTCAGACGATATTTTAAGTTATGAAACCAGAGAAAAAAAAAAGTATTTTCTCTGAAAAAACGCATTGTTTTTTCAACGGATTCAAATTTCTGACAACCAAATTATTTTATAGCCGTCGTTTAATAGCAGACCCAATTTTTGGGTTTACGACTACTTATGTTCAACTCAGTAGCCTTGTAATTTTGAACTCAATCCAGAACACAAGAACTCGCGGATCAAGTATTGGGAGAAATTTGCCTTCGTGGATAACTTTTTGATGGAACTAACCGGCAATTGAGTTACATGGAGAAGAAAACCATGAAAATCTCCACAGATAGCCTGGCCGTTAGGGGGCTCTTACCCATGAGCCGTCTAACACTGAGGATATTTTACGTCGGCACTGTGGTCCCGGATGCGGATTTAGTATCGATCAACCATCGCTGGGATTTGAAACAGGTTCACCTCATTGGAAATCAAACGCTTTTTCTCCTGAATCATCACGCCTCTCCCAAAATATACAGAGTACCCTCAATTTTAATTTATTACAGTCTTTAAATAGCCGATCAAACTTTGGGTTTATGATTACTAATGTTCAACACGGTAGCCTTGTAATTTTGAGCCCAATCCAGAAGACAAGGATCTCCTGGATCAAGTATTGGGATAAATATGCCTTCGTGGAGGACATTTTAATGGAACTAACCCGCATTTGTGTTTCATGGAGAGGAGGACCACGAGAACCACCCACGGTTAGCCAGACAGCAAGGGGATTCTAATCCATGACCCGTCTAGAGTGATCTGGTTTTTTTTTGTACAACAAATAAGCTTAATAATGAATCCTGATTTTTACGTACTAAATATGCAACCTTCGAAAACTTAACCATGGTCGGTGAGCTTAGGCATACCTCTGCCTTAGATACATAGCTACATCACCTACGATTTATGACGACGATTTTTATAAAATAAGACAGCTCAAAAAACGTGTAAAAAAATGTATTAGGACATAGTTCAGAGCACGTATATATAAAAGGCGATATAGCTCAGAACGTGTATTTAAGAAAATGGATAGAGCTCTGAATGCATATTTAAGAAATTAGTATTTGATTTCACTTTTCAAATTTCCCCAATGAAAATTATTCTTTTGTTTTCTTTTGAGAAATCATAATGGATCCAAATGAATTCGTAATGTGATGCAGCCTTTTCGTCTAAATCACTTCGCAAATTTCTGCAAAATTAGCTTTTTCGGAAAGATATTAAAAATAAACAGCCGTTTCTATAAGATTTTCATGGTTCTTATATATTAAATTTACGTTTTGCGAATTTGTATAATCGTTTAGAGTAACACAGACGATGCCTGAAAAGTTACTAATGTAATATACCTCGAAGTTCACATTGATTAGTGTTTGAAAAAGTAAGGAAAAGGAACACATGTCTTATACACACTAGATTGGTCGTAAGCAAGTTCCAATTTCTTTAATGGCATCCTTTTAAAAAACTGACATTTGATATAAAACACAATCCGAAAGAATCGGACCAAAAAGTTTGAAAAGCTTTTTTCAAAAAAAGAAATTTTCCGCTCTTTAAGATACAAGCGAATAGTTGCAGAAACATAAATCTGGACTTATTTTGTACTTTCAGATTTGCTTTCAGATAAAACTTTTGTAGTTCAAACGCCTTTGTCAAATGAATATATCAAAAGCTGAAAGTTTTTTTTCCCTAATCAATTCCGAAAAATTTTAATTTTTTTTCTTACAATTGGTAACTATCGTAAACTGGTTAAAATAAGGAACTTTAAATAACTTTTTAAGATAAGAGACTTAAAGTGTAAAATTTGAAGAAAAAAATTACAAAAGTTGCTTTGTTTCAAATAATTCAATCATGAATACAAATCAAAACTATAAACTCTGATAAAAAATAGAGAATTTAATACTCAGTAAATTTAATGCTTAAGTTTTAGAATAAAAGATCTAGATTCAGAGTCAAAGATCTAGATTATGAAAGAGTAAAAATTATTCTATATTCCTCACTATATTCTTTATACATTTTATGTTCATCATGTGACAATAGTTTAAGGAATTTTCACTTAAGATTTTCGGAAAAAAAAAACTTTAAAAAAGAAACTGAAAGCAACTAATGGAGAATGTGCCTTATTTTATAAANTATTCCTCACTATATTCTTTATACATTTTATGTTCATCATGTGACAATAGTTTAAGGAATTTTCACTTAAGATTTTCGTAAAAAAAAAAAAAAACTTTAAAAAAAAAAAACTTAAAGCAACTAATGGAGAATGTGCTTTACAAGTAATTTAAAAATTTTAATTTTACCACTTCTTATATTTCTAAATCTAATTTTTCCAAACCAAAGCTTTGGGTAATTTTAAATTTTGCTATGCAACTTTCATATTGATGGGCATAAAGATAAATACAGTGCTACAAACCTCAAATATCATTCATTTTTAATGAACACTGAATAAAATAATTTTTTTTTAAAATAACGAAGCAACTGAAATAAGTTATATTTTCTCATAGCAAAAGTGAAAAAAAAACGCAGTTACTTTAACACAACAAACTATTTTTCAAAATATGGATATCACAAGTATAAAAACCACCTATTATTTTTTTTTTCTTTCAAGATATTAAGTTTTCAAAATCATTATTTTTTTTTCGTTAAAAAATTGAGAAAAATGTCAAACTGAAAGTGTCTCTTCTATTATTGTATATCAGTTCTTAAAGATATTTAAATATTTGAAATTATTTTTTTCTGCATTAAATCTAAAAGCAAAGTAGATCGCCATAATTTTAAAAATTATAGTTATATTATTTATATGAAGCAAATTGAAGCGGTTGCTTCAGTAGATAGAATGGTAAGTAAGAGAAGTTTTAAGTCTTTGGTGTTCTCAACGCTTAATTTCATCAGCAATAAATTGCAAGTCTCCTTTCCTGCCTTTTCCTTTGAAAGCCCTTTTCCAAAATAAGAAAAGTTTAAAAAAAATAGGCAAACTTTTTCTGCAAAATTTCAAGTTTAATTGTTTTGAAAAACAAACTATTTACTTCTAACGCTAATTGATTCAATTCATAACTTATTCGAAAAACAAATTTCTGAGGGCAAAATTCGAAAGTCCAACCAGCAATCAGAACCAATCTAAATAAATTTGTTTCACAATATTTTTTTTTTCTTTTTCTAATTTAACTTCATATTCGTAACCCATAAGGATATATAGTTTGTCATAACGCTTAGACCAACTTTTTCCCAGATTCAAATCCAGGTCATAGCCAGCAATCATCAATAACTTTATAAAATTATGTTATTTTGAGACATGTTAACAGTCAATTGTAATGTACCTGTTTATATGTTAACATTGTCACTGATTGTGAACAATTGAAAAAATTATACTTAGTTTATTTGCTGTTAGAAATCTTCACTTGAGGTATTCTCAGAAATTAAGACTGTAAAATTAAGTCCTATTAAACAAAAATAAATCCTGATAAAAATGTTAAATATTCCTACAACTAAGAATTAATGAAACTTAACAGTTTTATGAAATGCCACGCTCAAAAAATATCATTTCCATAAAAAAAAATTGAGTTTTATTTTTTTCACAATTCTAGTTAACAAAGTTTGAATACAGATTGTTGAAGACTAATTAAAGTTATATCGTAAAATCTTACCTAATGATCCAGCCATATGTTCCAATAGAAAAATCAATAATAAAATCAAAAGTGTAATTTGAAGAGTCATTATTTAAAAGCAAACTTTTCTCAAAAAGCTTCGTAATAATTTCTAATTACAAATTTTTCCCGTACTATAAACTTTATTTACTCGTATTAAATTACTACAACATTTGAATTAAATTACAAGTTTTAAAATCATAAAACAACATATTAGTAATAACTCCTCGCTTTTACACGTTATGTCTTGAAATAATAAAAATATTCTCGACTCTTGGTTGTTATGGTCGCACTCAAGCTACATTAACTATCTATTTACACGATGCTTTACATCAGGCACGTGACATCCCAGGAAGAGCTGAGCTGAGTTGTGGATGATGTAGAGGGTCTGAGTAGGATGAAGAACAGGATTCTTGGGTACTTGAGTTGGATGAGGAAGATGAAGTTTGCTCTTCGCTTTTTTCCTCTGTGCTGCAAGAGAAAGTTCGTTTGAAGGTGATGAGTTGATGATGAAGGAGATGTTGTTGCTGTTGTTGTTGTTGTTACTTTACGTCGCACTAGAGCTGCACAATGGGCTATTGGCGACGATCTCGGAAACATCCCGGAGGATGATCCGAAGACATGCCATCACAATTTTGATCCTCTGCGGA